TCACACCCACTACTTCGCGGCGTTGTTAATTAGGTATTTTAGACTTATTTTTGGGTAATAATTACTGGGCGAAACCCAACCACATCTTGGAACACTGTCACCGAATAAGTATCTGAAATTTCGCGACATCCTGGTGACACCAGAAGGCGCTATCTCAGCAAGGCGGCCTGCTATCGGCTGACACTAGGATGCACTTGGTATTAAGTACGGCTCCTTGGGTGACAACAGCAGTCACTTGCTTCATTTTACGCGATCTCCAACCGCGCGTTTGTTGGAGGTTGCGTAATCCCCAACCAACATTACAAATTATCCCATTCACTGCAGCCGGCAATTTTATTGTATATCTTCCTTAAACTTTTTATATTTCTTGTATTGGTTAATGGAACAAACTGCACAATAAAGACTTGTTGACGTAATCGACATGTGCGTTCTCCCCTTCGTCCTCGCACCATCAATCATCAAAAATAAACGTTGGCCGAGAGTGAGAAACACTCCTCAGCTAATGTGCCGCAATAAAAAGTGAGACATTTAGCAATGTAGAATTAAAAGGTATCAAAAGTAACACAATGCTACCATCACATTTTTGGTGGTTGTTGAAGGGGGAGGCTAATAGGAAGGGGAGGGACAAAGAGACTCACAACACAAACGCCACTGAGATCGACTCTTCGCCATGTATCCAACCAAACATGTTCGTCATTCTTAGGTCCCCATCCAGGAAGTCGGGAAACACCAATTGATGCCAACTTCGAAGTGAGGGACTTCATCGCTCTTGATCAAGTAATCGCTTGGCCTCCCCTCCTTTTCTTTCTACACCCCGGCATGCAAACAACGCACCTCGCGGGAGTCTTGGGGCTGGCATGCGCAACACGTGGCCCAGCCATCGGAATCTGGAGCGTGATACAACCGTTCCCGCATCTCAACTCTAGTGTTTGTTAGTTCGCATCCGAGTTTTCCGCACCTCATCGTACGTTGCTTAACCAATTGTACTGACAAGAGTAACATTCTGGTACATATTTGTCACCTGTGCGGAAAACTATTCACTCTGTAAGAATACTCTATTTTTATGGTCATTGTGATGCGTGTTTGAACGATTTTATCCCGTTGATTAGTTTCCTGACGGTACAACTCAAAACGACTACACATGGGCGAATAGCCATTGGGTGGCACCTGGAAGTCGGAAGCGCGTGGCTTTTGTGTACGTGGTGCATATTCAACTACTTCCAAACGAAACCCATGCACGTTTGTAGTACTATTGTTCATGAGGTCTAATTTATCCCTATCCAGTTTGTGGCAGTTCATACTTAAGTCTGGACAAGTGCATGTGTATGTGTTGTATTCGATCTGCCATTGGACACGGATGACACCAATCCATGTATGTATATATGTATACCGAATGAGTTCGACGAGGATACTCATACCGCTTTTGTACAGCCAATTTAATGCAGGAAAACAGCACTCGGGCTAACCGAAACTAACCTTGTCAGGACACAAACAAGGGGACTTTATGACAAACTAATGTTGATTTCAGGTGTTGCGAATCAAAGGCTTAATTGATCAGTGCGAATTACGTGGACTGATCAAGGGGGCGGTTGCCCAGGTGCAGAAGGCACTATTGCACGCGGAAGAGAAGCACGATGCGTACGCTCCAGTTCGTTTTAGTAACCTAGACCAATAAGGTGGCGTATGTGGTACGTTTGCTTGCGTGATGAGTAGTCTTGCACTTCAGAAGTAAATGTTGTTTGAGCTCTCCGGTGTGGCTGCGCCTGATGTGAATGTTGACAATGTGCCTACTTGTCTATTACCCACCACCTCGTCCATACTGGCTCCAGGAGACAGTTGGTCGTTTCTGGAGGGGACGAGGTGCACCGTCTTCGTGACGGTGCTGAGTTCAAAGAGTGGTTTCTGTGTGGAACGGGCTACGGCGCAGCCACCGCGTTTTGTATGTCTGGTGTGTATGATTTCTCAATTAGGCCAGAATGCTTCTGTTCTGCTTGTTGAAGGAGTGTGGCCCGGCTCCGTTGATGTAACGTGGTTCCCATCCAAAGGCCTCCCGGTCTTATTCCTTCGGGTTTACACCGGATATGGGGTGTGTGGGTGGTGCGGCACAAGCCACCCATGGTCCCCTTTGTAGGCGCAGGTGTCCTGTGGCTGTCCCCGTGGAGGCCAAAGTGACAGGCAAATCCGGACACGGATGCCGCCAATCCATGTGACACGTGAATTATGGGAAATTGATGGATGACTTTAAATACGGACAATTTGGGAATCGGTCGGTAGCCCTCAGCGTAGGCATCAGTGCTCGTGTTTTACCAAGCAGTTGCTTCACAATAAATGTTTATTCCTACATAGGCGAACTGTGCTGCCTTGTATACAGTATTGCTTACTCAAGCACTGGAAGTTTCTAAGATATCCAACGCAAAACACCACTAATGGTATTACTAATTTCTCTACTTGTGGTCATTTAGGTAAGTAGGGATGAGTAGTGGCCTGGGTGCCTTCCGAATGCCTATAACTGATCATTGGTTTTGGATTCCAGTAATCGATACAATCACGGGAAACATGCTCACGATGAGCCTCTGTGGTCGCTTTCCACAGCAGTAGGACAAATAATCAGTTAAAAGCATTGATATGATTAGCCACTGAATGCGAGGACATTTGAATGGAATCCGTGTGCGTCTGTGTTTTCATCTACACTTGATCGCCATCCAGCCTTAGCAACAGTGATGTGGAACACACAAGTTCGGAATAGATTCTGTTTTGTTCTGCCTACGGATTATTTCAACTACTACTTATACATGGTTAATCTTCAGAGAAGTTTAAAAATGGGGTACATGAAGACGGTTGGTGATTTTGGCGTGATCTAAGCGTGGTCAGCAGATTGAGAGTCGCCCTGCGGAGCTGACCGTAAGTGCACGAACCGGATAAATAAAGTATGATAGCCATTTTTACGACGATCCGGATTTTCGTTGCAAGTTTGGATCCGCTCTTTATTTCCTCTCCTTGCTGTGTATCCGTGGTTAACTTAACTGACGCATTGATGCATTCGTAAGAGCAGTGAACAATCTCCCTTCTTTTTGGATCTCACAATCAGTTTTCCGGTTTTATCTTTGCCTAAAACGTATGGCTGCATTGTTTGCTCAATGTGCGCGACCTGTTTGTCCTAGTGTGCTTAGGTGGCTATGATGCTGCAGTAGTTCGGATACTTGAGGGGAGGACGAATACATCACAGTAGAAGATAAGGTTGTATGTTGAATTTACTCCAAATTAATCCCTTGTGTTGCGTAAAAAGGAGGCACGGAAATTAGTGGCCATATTATAACATATCAGTGCTACAGGTTCCTAATTATTTGGTTGTTTGTAATTACTGCGGTTTTTAATCCTAAAATTCGACTGCACATCTTGCTTGAAGCGTAACAACTTTAAGAGTAATAAAAGCTATTAGAAATGGCACACGTTTGACAACGGGAAACGTTTATTCATCCATGTACGTAACAGTGTTGCTCGGTAACTGAGAGGTCAGGGTAGTATGTTAGGTGAGGAAAAGTTTCGTTGTCCGGGTCGTATAGCTTCCACCGCGTTGGTTGTGCGACGTGCGACCGAGAGTTACTGTGTAGAAGAATCGACCTCTTTCTGATAACCATTGTCGCACAAGTGTATTATAGTCTACGATGCAGTTCGGCAATTTGTAGACAATACTTCTCAGCTTTGATAGCTTCACCTGGCTTCAGAAAGCCATGATGAATCAGACCAGTCGCAGACTACTGAACAGTCATTTTGGGTTTGGGCAGTTTTGTCCAACCACTGAGCAGTGCGTCATCGATTGTGGCACAGTAACCACTTTTCATCGCACGTCACCATCCCGGTTTGTCTTTATGGTGCAGAATAAACGCAGACGATACTGCAAAACAACGGCTTTATTGATTTACACTCAATTCGTGTGGCACCCACTTGTCGAACTTTTTGACATTACAATTTCCCGTAAGTGCTTAAAAATTGTCACGTGATACCGCAAAATTTCGAACAATTTTACGGGTATCTGCTTGTTCGTTGTTCACTTCTGATGACCGTCCGAAACCTCTTTTACCTTTGGGCCTCTGGTAACCCTTTCGAAAATTTTATAATCACCATTGTATAGTATAGTCATTGGCGGTTCCAAAGTAAATGCGCTATTGGTGTCACGAACTGCTGCACTTAGACTGTTTAAATTGTAACAAAAATTGTGCGAATTTGTCCTTGTCGCATAAAATGTCCTGTAAAAGCGTAAGAACGTATTTCTGAACTGACCTTTCACTACTATTAGTTACAGGGAAAAGCACGCTTCAAAATGATTTACAAGGTCAGAGCAATCTTTTAAACAGTTATTCAGAAATACGGCTGTTTAAATTAAAGTCGCCAAAACCCCAATAGTTTTATACGCAACTTAATACTACCGGTGGGATTGCCCAATACCTTGATTTGAGTTTTTTAAGATCATCGGTAAAAATATTTGGTCCGGTGTATTATCTTAATAGCCTTTTGTACCCAGGCAGCCTCTCTATTGGTAGAAAGGGGACCTATGGGTAACGACAAAGACGCTTGGTGTGGCCAGCTTATTTTTGACGACAGTTATCCCCTGCCCGTTTGGCACACCTATGCAAAGGGTAGAGAGAAGCGTTGGACGCGATGATTATAGCAAACTATCGAAATTGTAAATGTGCTACATGTGTTGTTCGGACATGCATAAATCTTTGTCGCATTCGATTTATGAACCTCCCCGATCCTACTTTGTGTTTTTTGTTAACGTGCCTACTTTTTATAAGCAGAAAAATCACGGATGTGTGTTGCTCGGTGAAGATGCGGTCATGCAGCTCGTACTTGACTTCGGGGATGACGCAGATCTTGAGTACGAATCAATCGTAATCGATCCTAAACTTCCCAAGACATTCCCTCTTTTCGTCCTAAATCGTGTCATCTGTTTATTTCATCCAGAGTGAAACGAAATCGCATCTATTTTTTATATTTAGCTCGTCGCGGCCGGTTTGCACGCGTCTCATGGGCAGGCGACAGTTATGCTCACGTATACGCTGCCCCATCCCACTTCCTGTTCTCCACGCCAATCACATATGACCGTGAACAAGGACGCTCGTCCACCCTCTTGTTCGAAATCCAGGAAGCTCGTCAGTTCAAAATACTGTTCTGTTTCTAAACGATGCAGTGTTCCATCTAGCGGAAGCAGCACGGTAGGTACGCCAAGAACCACAAGGAACAGTCGCGGCCATTCGCCGGAGAACGCGAAATGTGAATCTCACTATGAGCCATATGTGGCTAGAGCGGATAGCCCAGGTATGTGCCTATATACATCGCTTAGTCTGTTTGATAGCTGGATTGTATTGGGTGATCCAAACAGGATTTTATCTCCTGAAGCATCATCACTAAATATATTTGTGCTTTCGCTAGCTTTGTGGGGAGTCATTTTGCTGCTGTCTATGTAAGTGCGCTGCCTCTCGAGATCCCTACTATCACATCATTACCGTTGAACTTGATACCTCGTGCTCTCCTCAAGCGTTGATCTCATTCAGGGTGAGCATTGTCGAGGAAGATGAGCTGCTTGTTGTTCGCATTCAAGCTCGGAACGCCACGGGAATTTTCCTCTAACTTCCGAACCTTTGACTCGCATATGGCCACAGACGAAACAAGGCCCATTGACAAAGAGATCTCTTCCAGACCACCGTTCACATTACGCACTATATCCATTACGCATCGCACCACATCACATTTTCGATTAGCTTTAAGTTAATATGTGCAGCATGGACCGTTGCATAATTCCTTAACGTGTCTACTTCAGTGTGTACGCGAGCAGTTGTCTTTGCGCCAGCTGCTTCCAACTGTTCGTGCTTTTTCGGTCACCGCTCAGCCACCATACCATCCGAACTGTGCTATCAAAGATGAACTGAGACAAAATTTGACCTTCCTATTCAGCACCATACACCTTCTGGCTTTTGAACTTTTCCTTTCTGACTTCGAAATTATTATGTGACTTATTGGTTTTTTCTACGCTTGACGCCTTATTGCTTAGATCTTGTTTTTTTCTGGCTTCCCTTTCAGGAAGTGCAAACTGATCCTTGATAAAACCTATGTGACTGTATTAGCAACCCGATGCACGGGGATCATTATACTAATCGTGACCTCTTTCTCAATCATTCTTCTCAGCTGTCCCAGGAGTTTCTCCGGTGTTCTAACTGGCTTCTTAGCCTCTAACCTTAGTTCCCCATCGCTTCTATGGACCTACCTCGTAGTAACTGCTTTCTGAGCCTACAGTTATGAAGCACTCTTCTGAATAAAAGCCAATTAATTAGCAACCAAAATCTATCTATGCTAACATCCATAATCGCCTGCCTCGTATTCAAATATACTTGGCTACCACACGACTCTACGCGTTAATACAATCCGACTTTGTTGTTATACTTACAATCATAGAGGCGCTGTCGCAGTTCTAATATTTTTACTCTTATACGTTCTTTCTGTTGAACCTCTGCGTCTTTCAGCTTTCGTCTACCTTCTATGATTATTATTTTATTATTATTATTATCGTCATTATTACCCTCATTATTATCTCGTGATTGTAGGGTCGCGAGTGAACGCAATTACTCTCAGTGCCATTCGGTTTCCAGATCGCTGTTAACACTCTGAATGGAGCTGTATTATACATGGCTCTGTTATCACTGTAAATCTAGCAAGAACCTATTGCACTTCGCAGATCCCCGTACCAGTGCCAATTGCAAAATGCACACACCTACTCAGTGAAAGGTGAAGTACTAGAGAGATACCTGACCCTTTGCCACTGACATCAGCTCTGCGCTGTCGTGAGCACCAGTAATTGTATAGCCCTGACTATTACGTTTGGGTGCTCAGAATTAATTGTGCTTGCTAGATGCCAATTGCATCAACAATGTCGTGACCATGTAGGATCTACCTTGTTAATGAAAGTACCATATCTGGCTGAAACGCTTCTCACTGTCTATTCACACTGATCTGTACCCTCGTTTTGTCACACATCCTCAACTTTTTGTCCTTCAACATGGAGAAATGGCAGCCCATAGGATATATATATATATATATATATATATATATATATATAATGATTAACAACAACCTTAACGATTGGCACTGTGCCATCGAAAACTATGGGATGAATGTGGCCAGAGAGTACAAAAAATCCGGAAGTGGAAAATGGGTAAAATATAATTATCTGTTGAATGTTTTCCGCTCGACATTTTGTCTTGTCATTTTGGTTATTGTTAGCTGGTTAAATCAGTGCATAAACTAACACAGATCTTCCATTGAGTCCGAGTAGACGCAATAATAGTAATACATGTATTTCTTCTGATGCGAGAAATTGTATTTGTAGCAGCACTGATCAATTCGTACAATAGTATCCATACTCTTGCATGGGTGACATGCATAGATGAAATAATGAGGTATGCGTTTCATGTAGTAGCGTTCTCGTAGATGGTTGAGGCGAAAGCCTAGTTATGGAAATATTGGTGTTTATATGTTTTTGGGCCCCTCTTGGAATAGCTCATCAAAGGATTTTTCCCATGTGAATATAGTGATTTTGATATTGAGATCAAGGTAGTTGGAGAGTTTGCGTCTAAATGTTGCCATATTATCACATGACTTGAGTGTTATTGGTAGTTTATTCCACGGATAGCTATATCTGATCAGGAAGAAATTAGAGCGAACGTTCGTTCTAGCCTTCGGTATATTCAGTGTAAAATTGTGATGCGTTCGAGTTGAGCAATGTTGTAATTCGAGTGTAGGCGGGTCGTAATAGGTCTTTTTGTGTAACACGTTGAAAAGCAACTATAAGTTGCGCTTCAATCGTCGAATCCAAAGTGGTTCGAGTTGAAGTTCATTGCAATGTTCTCGATAACTCATGACAGTGGTGTATATAAATCAGATGTTTAGTAAATCACCTCTGCAGGTGCTCCACAGTAATTTTGTCACTCTTTCTTATATTACCGTATTTTATGCTGTAGTGTTAGCGGATGGGGTAAGTGAGTGGCTTGAAAAGCTCAACTGTAGCATGAGTTGTGTGAATTTTGTTTGATATCTTGAACATAGATTGTCTGGCATGTGCCACTTGGCATGGGACCTGTTCGGACAAATTGTAAGTAGACGACTACCTCGCGTGGACAGCTGTGTGGGGACCCGTTCATTGTTTAGTGTGATAGATCCTTCGGGGGTGCAGCAGTCGTAAGATATGATGTCCTCAAAAGTTTCCAACCAGCGGTGTTCTTCATCCTTGGCTCCCCAGCCCGAAAGACGTAAAGGACCTAGGATAGCTAAACTTTAAATAAGCGTTTTGACCTTTTGTCGCCATCTGATAGACCTACCATCACGCAGTTTCTTTCAGCAATGTGCTGCGCAAGCGAATATAGTGCGCCGTGGTTGTCGCTTGCACGGCATGCGTACGTAGCGGCTCAGCCATCTCGGCGCAGCGCTACCATTGTGTCGGGAAGGAGGTACGATACCTAAAATCTTCGTTACAAACGTCGCGTTTTCACCACACGTGAGCTATCCCCCGCGAACTACCGTTGTCAAAGGTCGAAACCCGACGCATATCACTCAAAGCCTTCATTGACTTTGCCTGAAGACACTGATCCGTTGGGCTACCATCATGTTCCGTTCTACGCTTTTAAAACGAAGCATGTATGGGTTGCCCCACTTTTAATACGAATGCATGAGCCACATAAAGCGCAGCCACCGTGGATGGTTTGTTTTTACAATTTATTAGTTATCATACATTCCTTTTAACTCATATAATTCCTCGCCGAATTGGATGCGGAGCTAGGTCTACTCTGAGCGGAGTGGTCTCTGCACATCCTACTTTACAAGTGTTGTCGAAATGTGAACGCGTTTGACCTGGGGAACTATTCACTTTGAGAGCCCGCTACAATTTTCGGACCCTTTAGCACTTTTCTAAATCCACCTGAGCACCCACGATTGCATAAAATGTGTCATCAGCATAAGTCAAGTTTTCATTGGTTAATAACTGTGCCGACTTTGTCGACATTGCAGCTAGGCCTTTAATTTTTTCACACAAGCCACATTATTCGTGTGGCGATACGGTTCTCTGGTATCCAACACTGTTTCCCTGAGAGAATTCACAGGTCATTACCGGTACTGCACTGTCTGTAGGTAGTGAAGATTGCACGAAAACCAGTGGAAAACTCAGCAACGACCAGCCTCTTCCTGTCACGAATGCTGTATGCGCACGCCCACCCAGCGGAAATCGGACCAATGGTTCAGCTCGTAGACAAGCATCCCGACGTGCAACCACTCAAGACAAAGCAGGTGCTGCGACGTTTGGTCATTCTCAGCTCACCGTAAGCCACACCGTTTTTCACATACCGCTGATTTTGTCCGTTGGTATACTGCTCCGATGCGTGCGTCAGACTGTCCGTGAATGACGCTTACAAGAATAGTGAGCTCTCACGACCCAAAAGGCTTAAGTTCACAGAACGCAGGGAAATGTTGTTTCAAGTCTTTTGGACAGCACACTTGATGTAAGTGGAAGATTTTCTTTCCCAAGCAATTTCTCACGTTTGTTAAACTTTCAACCACCCAACGTCAACACTCCCCACTACAACCATAGTATCTTCAACCACAAACGCAGGCGACATTCTGTCCGCTTTGAGATAGTAACTCAAGATTGCCTCTTCTCAATATGCATTTTGTTTCCAACCGCTTTCGCTGTGGCAGCTAGTTTTGTCCCGAGTCCAATTTGAAAGCTACCGACACTTTTGAGAAGACCCGCATGGCAGGGTTACCGGTCCGCATTACCAGGGTAGGCTGATGACGACCCATTCATACAAGTGGGAGCGGAATGATGGGACTATCCAGTGAATGTTCCTTCTTCAGCGGGCTAATGAACCAGCAGTTGATGAAGTACTTCGAAATGTAAATGGACCTAAAACAAAAACCGCATCACACCCTGGCCAACTAATTAGTGCCCACGTATCGTGCTCTAGCAGTCCCTGATAGGCCGGTTACGTGAATCAGAAAAGAGGAAACCGTAAAACCAAAAAGCAAAAGTAGGAACGTAACTAAATTATTGTAACATTAAGGTATTTGAATAATTACAAAAAGGAAAACTGTATGGTGATTCTCTATAGGGAGGATTAAACGTTCTGTATTACGCCTGCTTTCGACCGTGAGCTCTAGTACATCGTACTGCATAATGTTAGAGATAAGCTATTCGAGACAATTAACGCACAACCTGTTCGTTCTCTGCCCTAACGGCTGTTCTATGGTAGCTCAACTGGTGTTATCGGGATATGGTTGGTGGTCCCCTCTACTTGTTTGTGTGTCCGTGAGCTTAAACATTCGAGTGTAAATCAAATCACAGTTTTGCAGAGCTGCGGCTTGATCGCCGGATACAGAGTTTGCAAACTGACATTTTAATTCGTACTCCACTGAGCCCGGCCGACGCTTGTCGCAAAGATCAACGACTCATTACTGATTCATTTTGGGGTACCATTAGTGCGGCTGTTGCGGTACATAATCTCTATATGGAGCGCGATGCACTATAAGGCGGATCTCAATAATCCCGATTACTGGGACCATATATGAAGCAAATAGGTGTTTCTGTGCAAGGAAGAGATCAGGAGCGTAACCAAAGAACCGGTCAAGAAGCGCCCATCCATTTGTACAGTTTTTTTACCGCAACCTATTGGGGGCAGAGTGATACAACCGGCTGACTGAGGCCGTCAATTCTAATGAATTTAATCTTTCGCCCCAGTATTGTCTCGGAACGCGAACCAAACTAGGTGGTAAAGTCCTTCCCTACCCGCTACAGAACTTACTTTGTTATTTAAGCCTAAACCAGGTATCTTCGCTTATACTACGGCTAGTACATACTAGTCTAAGACGGTGCGCGTAATCGAGCACGGATATCAGAAGGTAAACGAATTCGGACACAACGGACTATATTCGAGGGGCTACCGGAAGACGTGGACGGAAGAAGCGAGACAGGAGCAAACTACAGCAGTGTAACTCACGGATTAGACAAGTGAGAGGTGATAGAGGCGGAAGATGGGGAGCAGTAAAATAGATCAGCAATAAAATTGTACGTACAAGACAGGAGTTATCTTCTAAGCGCTACAAAGCTCCACTCCTGGACAGCTAAACAAAAGAAGCCTTCGGTACTCAAACTATGGTCGAGTCGAAGTTCGTAAAGCAAAATTGTGCCGAGTGGAAATGAGTGCGTGTCCGTGTCGAAAGAGGGTTCTTTGGAATACAGAGTTTACTTTGCCGTTTGTATTTTATTATTTAGCTGATTGCAGGACGTGCCGCATCACAGTGCGCTGTTGGAGCGGGCTTGTCGGACTTCAAAAAAACTGGCTAGTCCAGATAAATAGCCGATAAGACCTCAACCTCCGTTGCTGCCAAACGGTGCGCTTGGGAGTGGTCTTTCCCCCCGCCGCGTGCCAAAATGATCATCATCCGGCTTTCTTTATTAAATCCTCTTGGTTTGCGGCGATTTTCGAACGCGTCGCTCGTAAGAGCCACTCGATCTGAGGGGATGCTTGGAGCATGTAGAGACGAAAAAGAAAATCGCCAAATAGAAAGAACGAATGGCTTGCGTGCAAAATTGTTTGTAATTCCTGTTTTTGGATTTTTTCATGGTTGTTCGGGGGTTTTGGATTTTTTGTATTCAAAACGTTATTCTACCAGAACATGGCAAATATCACAATATTTAGAAACTAAACGTATTTACACTGTATCTAATTGACAAAGCGAATGGGCTTACGAGCCTCGCGACCACGGCGGTTGGTCGTGGGAGTCGAGAATTTAGGTGTGTAAAATTAATTCGGGACGGCTGATGCCTGTAGATCGGGATCGTAGTCTTATTCGACGACGCTATGCTGTTGAAAATTAGTGAGCTTAGTTCTAACGTCGCAGGAAATGTCGCTAGACGGTGGAGGCGAGGTGCTTTCCTCCATAAATGCTGGTTTTAGACAGTTGATTGTAAGCATTTTATTTTTTACTCTTGATTACTTTGTAGGGCTCGATGTACGGCGACTGCAAAGGCTGTCACCTTCAACCGTAAAGCGGACAGGCTCAATTCACGCACCTGGTGAGCTAACCGATCAGTATAACATCCGTAGCTGAAAGAGGAAGTGGACGATGCTGGTGCTACCAGCTGTCCGCGCAAACGCAGTCTGCGGCCTTAGACTAGCTGCGCTGGCGTTGCATTGAAATCGGTATTTACAATGTTCCTTAGGCCTTAGAGAACGAGAGGAAGGGTTTCCTACCATGAATGATCTTCGTACGTTCGGAGTGCTGCGTTCAGCGAGCGGTGCAATCGCTCCACCATGAAGTTAACGCCCGGATGATACGTCGTCGTCTGGACGTGGTGACAACCTAAGTTCTTAAGCAATGTGTCAGAAGTGGACGATAAATGTGACCCTCGATCGGTGGTTACGATAGCGGAACAGTCACACTGCACTACCTAACGCCCTAGAAATGCTTTTGCCACCGTCTACGAAAAGCATTTGGGAATGGGATTAGCTTTTGGCCACCTGCTGAATAGGTTGATACAAGTCAGTAAATATACCGAGCCTTTTGAAGGCGGCAAAGAATCTACGCGGTCGACGTGCACGTGATGAAAATGTGCGTCTGATAGAATAGTGTCTAATAGGCTTTCAGTGTGGCTCTCTCCCATTCCTGCACTTCACGGTTTCGTCCTGATTTAAACTCATCAGGTAGAGATAGCCGAGCTGGGAGTGCTTGGCGGCTATCGCCATGATCACTAGGCCATTGAGCGCCGCGACCTTTTCGTGTGCTTTTGCATTTTCACACGTCGACATGGAAGACATATAACTGCCTAATTGCGGACATCGCGATTGATTTTGCGCTAAACGAATCGTGCGATTGTGAGTTTAACCGACGAACGGACGCCTGGATGAGACAAACCAAGCAGCGTAACGAACACGGTCTGTCGAAATTCGCGTGGTACGACTGAGCGCGTTGTGCCTAGAGATGTGTCACCAATAATAGTTTCGTCTGTCAAATGTTAGCGGAAGGGGTCGTATGTTCAGTATGAGCGACCAGTGTAATATATATACCTCCGGATGCCAAGTCAATGGCAGTGCCGGAGTCAGCGAACATCATTTGGACTCGAGAAAGTGCGTTGGCGACGACGTTATGCACACAGACATGTCGTATATCGGTTGTTGACTAAACGATATAGTCCAGGTGGCGCGACTTTCTAAAGGAGTACCCGTCGCTTCTCGAGTCCAGCATGCAAATCAGCGATTTGTGGTCGGTTAAGACGGCAAACGTGCAACCTTCTTAGACATGTCGGAACTTACGTATTGTAGCGACAAGACGACGCGGCAATGAAGCACGACCTTTATTGGCGTGAACACACACACTATTTCACCGCTCACACTGGCACACATTAATAGGTCAGGTTTCTTTCCCACGTTGCACCATCCCTCCTGGCCTCCGCTCGTGACACTTCTATGCTCCTTCTGGGGAACGGGAACGCATCTTCTATGTCCGTTTCGCCCGTGTATCCGCTTCCACGCCTCCGATTCTGACAAGCCTGGAGTCGTTCGATAGCGTGCGCTTTGCTTGACCGTGGGTGTATCACTCTCCCCGGTGTTGTCTCATGAAGATGCGATACCGGCGGTTTTGTCCGATTTATTGCGCCTTCAACAAATTCACCACCTGCTTTGCCTGCCTCGGGCTCACCCACGGATGCCGCTCCTGTCCCGTTTCCGCCCCGTTCTATTGAGCCTGGGTTTCTCCAGCGAATTGCCCCCATTGCATCGGTCTCTCTATTCGTCCGCCTCCGTTTAGTTAGTCTCACCGTCCTTTGGGCAAACGCTGACTTCCGCCTTCCTACAATATGGCTTGCAAGTAGCTCTTTACTGAGCGTGCTGTAACGAGAGTCAGCAGGTTTCAGGCGTTTAGTAAAAACGCCAACGGTTGCCAAGTGTCGCCTAACTGTCTCTGAAAGACAGCGCATACTGCCAGGCCAGAAGCATCTATACTTAGCGATAATGGGGCTGCCGGGTCGTATTGCGCCATAGAATCTATGTTGACGATAGCTTCTTTTGAAGCTTCGAACATAGTGCGTACTGGGTTTCCCTCAGAGAAAGTCCGGGAGCGGCTGCATATGCGACGCTCAGTTAGGTATGAAACGTTAGTAAAAGTTAACGAAGTCGTCAAAACGTCTGATCTGTTTAAACAAATGACGCTCAGGATAATCGATGGTGGCCCTAATTTTCCCCTTAGTGGTACGACGTCCGCACGAGAGATGATGACCAAGAAGACTGACCGAATCGACACCAAAAGGACATATTTCTTCATTGAT